TGAAAAGAAGGGATTGCCGAGTGGTCATCCCCCCTGCCCCTGGGGGTGACTTCTTGCTTTCCTTCTCTCTGTCTCTCTCAGGAGGAGTGCATGTTCCCTATACCAAAAAACTAAAAGAAAAAAAAAAAGAAAAAAGTTCTATTTTTACATATATATATATATATATATATTTTTTTTTTTTTTTTCCTATAGTGCACATGCACTCACCAGAGAGACAGATAGCAAGAAATCACCCCCTGGGGGGATGGCCATGTCACAACCCTTTTCCTCCATTCTCCTCTCAGAATTTTGGGCACACATGCACACACACGTGACCAGTGTGTTTTAAGCTACTGGGTCTGGGACTTGAACATCAGTCAACTATGTGGGAGTCCAGCGATGTAACCATTATACTATCTGCTGGTCTCAATTTCTAAATTCTTTCTATTCCCTGGGATCTTAGTCCTGACAACTAAAAAGGCCTCTTTATTAATTTATCCAACAAACACAGAGTGCCTACTGTGTGCCTGGCATATTACTTTGTTGAGTCTATATTTTATAGTTATGTTTGTAAAGAAGTACTTCTACTTGGTAAATATTATATATATATATATACACTTATTTATGTATTTATTTTTCTTTTTGACAGATTTTTTTGCTATAGGGTGTGTGCGCTCACCAGAGACAGAAAGTGAGAAATCAACCCCCAGGGGGTATGACCATGCCGCAATCCCTTCTCCTCCAGTCTCCTTTTGGATTTTGGGCACATACTCGAACCCTGTGTGAGTTTTAAGCTGCTGAGTCCAGGCCTCAAACCATGGCTGACCACGTGGGAATCTAGCAACGTAATCATTATGCCATCTGCTGGTCCCTCTGCTTGGTAAATAAGCAAAAAGGCGGCCAGTGAGTGACATATGCTGACCTGGTACCACTGACCTCAAGAAATTTACCATCTTTTTCTTCCTCTTCTGAATATGGTTTTAAAAGCCGAATGACAGGACCAGCGGATGGCATAATGGTTATGTCACTGGACTCCCACGTGGCCAAAAATGGTTTGAGTCCCCAGACCTGCAGGCTTGAAACTCACGCCAGGTACGTGTGCATGCATACCCAAAATCCTGAGAGGAGAATGGAGGAGAGGGGATTGTAGTGTGGCCATCCCCCGTAGAGCGCGATTTCTCACTTTGACTCTCTGGCAAGCAGACAGACTCTACAGCAAAAATCTCTCAAAAAATTTTTTTAATTAAAATAAATAAAAGCCTCATGGCTATCACTGGCATTTTATATATGTCATAAAGTGTGCCACTTACAGGTTTTAAGTATGCACGTGCTGAGTGCAGGCACAATGTTGTGCAACCATCATTCTAGCTATCGCCAAAGCTTTTCCATCACTCCAAACAGAAACTCTGTACCCAGTAAGCAATAACTCCCTCTCTCCCTAACCCCTGGGGCCCTCTCAACTACCTCTGTCTCAACTGAGTTAATACTCTGGATATTTTATATAAATGGAACAATGCAATATTTGACCTTCTCTGTCTGGCTTATTTCACTCAGCATAATGATTTCAAGGTTCACACCACTGTAGTATGTGTTAGGACTCCATTCCTTTTCATGGCTGAATAATATTCCATTATATGTAGATACCACATCTGGTTTATCCATTTATCTGCTGGTAGACACTTGGATTGTTTCCACCTTTTGGCTAGGGCGAATAATGTTACACTGGCTGAACTCTGCTTTTCAATTCTTCTGAGTATATGTCTAGCATTCAGCTACTGGGTCATACGCTAATGTCATGTTCAACTTTTTGAGGAACTGCCAAACTGTTTCCACAGTGGCCAAACTATTTTATGTTCCTGTCAGTGATGCATAAAGATTATAATTTTTTAAACAGACTTTAGTTCCTTCTGGACCTCAGTATCCTATAACCCATTCTTAGAAGTTTGCTGAAGTCATTCTTATACTAGTCCTTGGCCTTTAGCTAATAATTTTTTAGAAGTCAGCAATCAACACAGAATTTCCTCGAAATCCATCATGAAATGTCTTTACCGTGTGTGGATCTTTATCTTCCCCTCTTCCCTTTGTTAATTAAGAGAATAAGCTTTGCAATCTGACGCCTGGGCTTGAATTCTACCTCCGATTTTCTAGCTACGTGGTCCACTTTCCTCCTCTGTAAAGTAGACAATATGTGTTTTAATTTCCTATGGTTGTGGCAGCAAATTCCCACAAAGTTAGGGGCTTAAAACAACACAAATTTATCTCACAATTCTGGAGATCAGAACTCCAAAATGGCTCTCACGGAGCCAAAATCAAGATATTGGCAGAGCTGGTTCCCTCAGGAAGCTCCAGAGGACAGCTGGTGTTGCCTTTTCCAGCTTCCACAGGCTGCCTACAGTTCTTGGTTTGTGGGCCCTTCCTCCATCTTTAAGGCCAGCAATGGTCAGCTGAGTCTCACATCGTATCACTCTGGCACAGAATCTCCTGCCTCACTTTAAGTATACTCAGAGTATACTGGGTCCATCTGGACAATCCAAAATAACCTCCTACTTAAAGGGCACTTAATTAGCAACCTAATTCTCCCTTGCCATATAAACTAATGTATCATAGTTCTTGGACATGGGATGTGGACATCTTTGGGGGCAATTATTCTGCCTACTACAACACGGACATGCCTTTCTTATAAGATTGTTTAAACGATTATTTATACGTCTGAATTCTTTCCATTCCTCGAGATCTAGTCCTGAAGACTGAAATTCATTCCAAAAGTACTCCACTCATTTGTTCAACAAACACCTATTGAGTTTTGAGTGAATGAAGCAAAGCATGTGAAGTTCTTCAGGCCTGACACCCAATAAGCTTCAATGAATGTTACTCATGATCACTTTATGATACTCAGAACTTGCTCTTCTGACAATACAGTCCTGGCTGCAAAAATCAATTTCTTAGTCTGAACTTACTGATTTCTATGGTCCTAAAATTCAGTGAAATACTACTTTGTTTTCCAACTGTATGTCCGACATGAGGCCCAAGCACAGTGGCAGAGGTGGTAGGGCACTGCTACATGATAAGGATACCACGTGTGAGGCTTGGATTCTGATCCCAGGTAAATCTGAACATAGTAGGAGTGTGCACCCATGACTCTGGCTGGCTAAGAGCTGGGTAGAGGACTGCAGAATGGTCAGACCCTGTACAAGATATCAGTTTTTCTCTCACAAACACAAAAGAAAGAAACTTTGAGGGGAAAAAAATCCAACCTGACTTCTGCAAGGCCCCTGAGGACCAACCTGTCTTTTGTGTTGAAGCGAAATTAGAATTAAGGAGCGGCAGCTCTGTCAATGCTTCCACTACCTGCTGGGGAACTAATACCCACTCTCACTCTAGCAAGAAGTCAAGAACTCATCCTTGCCCTGGCTCTGACAGTGGAGCTGAAATTCCTGTGGCTCTCTCTGCTTGGTCTCTGGTCTGTCAGGCACCATCCTTTTTAGCCTCTATCTGGCCCCATGGCCTGCAGCATGACCTGGAACACCCTTAGCTTGGCTTCTCTGTACTTTATCCACCTAGAGCCCTCTAACAGGTCCCAGGGTCAGCCTCACAGAATTCACTGACTGCAGACGGATAGGTATGGTTTAACTTGGAGTGGCTCAATCATCCCTCACAACTACGTGCTTCTACTGAGGGTGTTCACTGCCACTTCACCTGCCAGTTGGGATTGTCTTGTGTCACAGTGAAGCGATTCCTTACAAGGAACGTGGAGCTATCTCAGGCCCCAGGGTATATTTCTAAGCAACTACTAGGGTATTACTGATCATAAAGTCCTGTTAGATTTTTCTGTTTTATTTTTTCAATCCCATGGGTATTGTCTCTATGGTATCTGGTTCTCAGCTTTAAGGTTTTTTTTTTTTTTTTCTTCCTCTTTCAATCTCAAAATTATGCTTGAAGCTCTTGGTTAGATCAGAGTATAAGTTTTGCAACAGAGACTCCCTGCTCATTTTGTGAGCTATACTCTAGGCCACGTAGAGCCGAGGGGCCCAATTCTTTCTCAACATAGTCAGAAAGCTTAGGGATGGATGAGCCTCAACAGTGGGGCACTTCAGGCCAGAATAGCCAACAGGTCCTGGGTTAACCCTGCAGACTAAGAGGCTAGGCTGTGCTAACTGGCGGTCTCGAGGTGACGTCGGCACTGGACACAGCCATGTGGGCTAGAACAGTGACCAAGACTGCAGGGCTGGGAGAATACTGCTGGGCAGCTAAGGGATGTGCAGCACCACTCACTCACCTCCTACTCCTAAGGTGGGGAGGATCAGAGATCCAGGCCATAATGTAGCATGACCAGATCCCCTCTCACCCACCACCCCTGGGATTGCAGCTGATCCAAAGACCCCAGCACCTGCATCAAGGGAACCCACACCTGCTGCCCAGCTTCCATGGGCAAAGCTTCTGCTTGCCTTTCTCAACAAGTTGGGTCACATTCTTCCATTCATCAACTTATGACCACAACTTCCTTCTGTCATCTCCAAAATGGCATTTTCTTCTTGGTTTCCTCCCAAGTTCTTCCTTCATCTAAGGACAACTCATCCTTGCTAATAAACCAGAGGGAGGCCAGGTGCAGATCTGGCAGGGTCTCTATTGACCAGAGGATGCAGGGTTGGGGAAAAACTAATGCAAAACCAACAGAGCAGGAAAAACAAACCAAAAATCCATTAAAAAAAAAAAAAAAACTCAATCATTTTTCTGTTCAAAGTTTGCTATAAAAATCTCTTTGTACGTTATCAAAAATTCAGTTTGCCGTTGGTCTGCACATCTCACTACGTGGTAGGGAGCATTAGTATCTCCAGATTCCTTCTGGTGATTCTGGCATGAGCGGTGTGGGAACTGTCTGGGAGGGTTACATCAGATCCAGCTTCTCCTAGAAGTATGGGCGTGGCTTGGCTGACTTCTGCCCCCACTCCCACTGGTCCCCTCCCTCCTTTCCTCACCCTGCCCGCTGGCGCTGGCGGGCAGTCCCAGTGTTAATGTAGTACCTGCCGTTCCTGGTATCATGTTGCCGCATGTTCTTGATAAAATGAATCTTCTTAAAATTCTTTGGTCTGGGCGAACCTGAGAGAGTTCGACATCTGAAAAATAAAGGTGTTACAAAATCAGTCAGTGGCCTGCTGGGTAGCTGAGACATCTCCACACAAAGACAGGAAGGAAAGACGAGACAAATGGTTTAAGTCACCCCTAAGCCCTAAGTGGGCAGGAGTCAGTCAGCAGGGATAATGAAGACAATGCGGGTGGAAGCAAGGAAGCTGCAAAAAACCCAATGACAGACACTTCCTTGATAATACTGATAATATTTCATATGGGTCTCTGAAAAGCCAGCTAATGAAAACTATTGTCCCCATTTACAATAAAATAATCTACCCAGATTCCAAAGACATTATTCTTTCAAAGAATCTGCCTATATCAACATAAGTAAAGGAAACAGAGTCATTTAAAGGATTTAGAGAGTAAAAACATACTGGAAAATTCAGTTTAAAAACAAGCCTGAATCATTTTTCTTCAATAGCAGGATTTTGGCCGGAATGACCTGGACAGTTGCCTCAATTCTCAACTTGACTGACTATGGCTGGGAAGTCACAGCTTTAAACTCAATGAGAATCAGACACCCAGAGAGTTGCTGAGTTTTTGTTTTATTTAAAGGTAAATTTTAAATAAACATTTGTTGAGCTCAAGTGGCTTTGATTCAAAATGTGCTTTTGCCCCTAGAATATAAAACATTTGCTTGCAAGACAGAATGACAAAACAGGCCCACAGGACAAAAAGATCTTACTTGTGTATAGTTTTCAGAGTTAACACAAATTCCAAGTTCGAAACTGCAACAAAAAAGCAAAAGAACTCGACAAACAAGAATCTGAGGTTTAGTCTTTTTCTAGATAAAAGGAAAGGTGACTGGGGCCAGCAGGTGGCATGGTGGTGAGGTCACTGGACTCTCATGTGGCCAACCACACTTTAAGTCCTGGAAGAGCTCACTCTCCTCTCCTCTCTCTCTGGTTAAACTGAAGAAGAAGAATAAATGAAAAACTAAACAATTCTTGAAAAAAAAAAAAGAAAGAAAGAAAGTTGACTTTTCTGTTTGGGCTTGTGCTACCATAGCAAAAGGATTTTCTGACCATGGGCCCAACAGCTGGCTCCCACTTTGGCTGTGGGTACCTGTGCTTATGCTTCTGAAGGTGAGTTCCAGAGAAGGAACAGCAGCTTCCCAAGACTGTGCTAAGGCATCATCTGAAATCAGTCTGTTCTGAACTTTGAGGCTTTAGGTAAAGGAAGAACAAGAAGATCCAAAATGATGCAATTCAGGGCAAGGCGATATGGGAGCGCATTTAGGAATCAGATTGAGAAATGGACAGAATTTTGAACTGCAGAACAGTCCAATTTGTACTCCCCACCAGGGGCTCACTTCAAGGGGGTCAGGCTAGGAATAATCTCCCAATCCATCCTTCTAATAAGGGCCCACGCTTCCTAGATCCTAGAGTACACCATATTTTTTCCCCATAAGAAGCAGCACCTTAAAAGACAGTTTCACTTGAATAAATTGCACTAAAGTTAAAGAATTTAGACCAAAACAAAGGTACAATATCGTACTTATTTGGCGACTTTCATTCAGAATGGGCTGTAGATCCAAAGGAAGAAAGCACCACTTCTGGTCATGTCCCCTACACTGAAGCAGTGGAAATCCATCCTTGGACCTCCTCAACGTTACTGCCAACCCTAACCTATTAGCACTACTTCTGATTCTTCCTTGCCACTGTTGCGAGGATTAACTATATGAGCTTCATAAACTGCCAAGCGACCCACTCAAAATAACTCCTATACTTATACATATATACAAACACACATGTTTACACCTACATACACACATTTCCAGGGTTGCTATTATTACTATTAACAAATCATTAGCTCTAAGAGTGACTTTGTTACTAGTTGCCTCCTATATTCTTAAAACTGCAGCCCTTGGGCCAGCAGGTATTACAGAAGTTAAGGCAGCTGGATCCTCCATGACCGACTACCTGGTTCAAGTCCCAGACCTAGTGGCTTGAAAATCACATTGAGTGTATGTGTGTGCATGCCCAAAATCCTGAGAAAAATGGAAAAGGGATTCAG